CCCATCCTCATTCAAGAGTGATCGATTCCTCCGAGAGTCTTTCTTCGGCGTACAATTTCCACTGCCCTCGATGTGGGTCGGGGGGTGAGCCGGGGCCGCGGTGCCCAGCCGAGCTGCAGCTGGACTCTCTCAGACGGTGCGTGTTGGACACTCCGGGATGCAGGTGCTCCGCCGCCTCCAGCGCACGGCTAATAACTTCCAGGTGGGATTTGAAGGAACTGGCACTGCCCCATCACATTCCTCTACGGCTTCAGTCCTGGCAACTCCAGCAGCTTCCCCTCTCCCTGCATGATGTTAATACAGCTCACGGCCCCGGCGATGCTGGAACACCCTCAATAAACAGGGGAAAGCTGCCAGGCTCTGCTCTCCGAAGGGTTCACGACTCCACTGCAGCTCCGGCTCCGCCCGCCAGCGCCGGGCTTTGTTAACCTTCCTGGCAGCCTGCTCTGCTCTGCTCTGGGGCTCCCGGGACGCTGCCGGAGCCTGGCCACGAAGGGGAAGAGTTTGAAGAAGGCTTATGCTGCCAGAGGAGGAATTCTCCAGGGTGGCCTTGTCCTGGTTGGTATTAGCTCGCTTTGCTTCCATTTTGCTCTATGGGTTCTTGAGAGCAATGACAGAAGAGCACACATTGAATCAAGACAATCGAGATAGAATGGTGACATTTTTCTCCAGAATTTTTGTCTTCATCTAAGCAGGATTACAAATGGTAGGGTAAGGTTCCAATATCTAACAGACATTTCCTTGAAAACGTGCTGTAACAGCTATTGAAATGTTTTGCCAGCAAAAGTCATGTAACACCACCTGTGAGAGAGACTTGTGACATTGGTTTTGATCCCTTGAAAGAATGGGAATTGGGTGGCTTTCCAAAGGAAGCCACTGAATGGACCATGTCATGGTTGTTTACTATTAGGGATGCATGTTGTGGTGTGGTTACCACGAGGTGGCACATCCCAACACCTAATGGCTCCAAAAATGGCACTGCCAGACCTGGAGGGTCATCCCCAGCATGGCAGGGTGTGCTGCAATAGTGTCCTCCCTTGTTCCAACCCTTCTCAGCTGTCCTCCCTCTCTGCTCTTCACATGCTGTGAAAACGGGGCCCTGCTGTCCCCTGATTTGCTCTTCTCACAGCGTGTGCTCCACTGCTGAAGCCACAGCTCCGGGTTTCAGTGGCCACTGGGAGCAGAGACCTTGCCTGCAGAACATCTCCCTGCAGAGCAGCTGCTCCAGCTCCCACTGGACTGCCATGGTTGTGCTTCACAGAAACAGAAAACTCCTGGAAGCATCTCTGGGACCTCATTTGTTTGTGGTTGTCCCCAGCATCTCTCACTCAGCATCAGAAACTGGAGGCTGAAGGTGCTGCTCCTATGCCTCAGCCAAAGCCAGAGAGAAATGTCAGCTGCTGTGTGATGACTAAGTCTCACATGCTTATTGCTCCTATCAGTTAGAGCTCTTAATCACTTTGTGCTGTTTCATCCTATAACATGAATTCACTTCAAGCTGTGAAATTCACCATTTTTGCCATGACTAATTTGTGAAATCTGCCACCTTCCTTTGTGGTTCCGTTGTGCCCTAGTCAGGCATCATCTGTCTGATTAGGGAAATCTGCGATTTGTTTCTTGCAGTTGAGCCAATACAATTTCAGTCCCCTCCTTCCTCCTCTTTGCACTCGACTGTGATTTCACTGTCGCTTTTGCCTTTGGATGTGCCGGGGCAGGAGGACTGTGGAGCCATCTTTGCTGGGGCTTGCACAGCAAGTCCTGGCTTTCCTCCCCTGTAGAACCTGTGCACAGGGCTCAACCTGACTCAAGCCGAGGCTTTAACCCTGGCTTTGGTTAAAGCTGCTTAGGTCTATTATATTATGTTTACCATCTTACTACATTTCTCCCAGCCTGGTTGCTGCAATATTTTGGAAATCATTTCCCACCTGCCTTGCCAGTGCCTTGTTTCACATACATTCATCTGTTACTCTTTATATTGAACATTGCTGGCATTACTAAATGCTATAAATATACCCAGTATACCATAAAAATACACAAGCAGATGACTGGTCTTGCCTACAAGAAATACTATGAATTTTTCATTTTTTCACATGCTCTGGGCAAAATCCAGAGGGTGCTCAAGGAACATCTCATAACTGAATTGGGTCCTAAATTCCTATTTTCTCACTGATTAGTTAATGTCTAAAAATATTTTCCCACACTCTTAATGTCTTAATTGTTCCTTGAAGACATTGAAAGCTCACCCATCCTTTTTTTACACTGTCTTACAAACCCAGTGAAATATTATTTTAGTATTTCTGTCACTGAAATACAATGATAAATGGTCTTCTTTTAAGATCAGCGGGAACAGAATAATGGATGTGCAGGAGAGCTTATTGACTTGCTTTTGCCAAAACGGAGTCCTGCCATGAAGTTTAGAAGGATCACAAGATGCCCTGGATACTTCTCATGCTTTTCTTTGTTTAATGGTAAAGCTTATAGGTTTGGGCTACACAGTTTTACAAGACAAAGATAGAAAAGCAAAGGAAACCTTCCCTCCTAGCTCTACTTATTCTCACCATAACTTTCCTTCCCATCTCTCTGTTTCTGTATTCTACCTTTTTTTACCAGTTTCACTCAAAATTAATCACCTCCCCGTCTGGAAAACAGTCATGGAAATAAGATTCAGTAGCATGATTTCTCTCAACAGATAAATAAAAGGGCAAATCTCCAAGAATCCCTGGCTATAATTAACCCTTTATCAAAATCCCAGAAGAGGAAGTTCAGGAACATCCCAAGAGCCTGTTCATTACTTTATCTGGCTATCAGAAAACCTATGGGCCTGATGATGCTTCTGCCCCAACAGTGCCCAAATCTCTCTGAATGACCCTGAGAGCAGGATTAGGGCTGGTGCTCAGCACCCCATGCCCTCCTCTGTATTTGCTGCTTCCAGCACAGCAATCTTGCAGCCACACCAGCCTGAGCTATTTACTCACCACCACTGTGGACTAATCAGATGGCAATAAAAGCTTTTACTGTGCCATCCTGTTTGTGATCAGCAGAAACATAAAAAGCATGAGAGAAAATTGATTTTTGGCATTAATTGTGAGCAAAGAACATTATACTGAGTACAGAGAGGGTGGGTTTTTTCAGGCAGAAAGATTCTATTTTAGTCTTTGAAAAGTGATTCTGGAAGATGCTGAGCTAAGCCCAATGGACACACTTTTCAAATACCATAAGGCAAAGAGTAGTTACTGAATCTCCTCAGTCTTATTAGCTTACATAAACATAAAAATTTGAATAATGTTTAAAAAGCTAAATTCTCCAGATAATCAGTAAGTGTTCATTACTGAGATGTAGCAAATATGCATGAGATTTCCCCGGTGACATTTTGGTTGCACGACTTAAAAGGTGTAGAAAAGCCTTCTCCACATGGGGCCGGGCAGAAACTTCTGCAGGCTCCAGAGGTCACTCAGCCACAGCGTGGACCTTCCTGGTCCCCTTCAGGAAGGAGCAGGAGGAAATCAGAATTCACTGGCTTGTGCTACAGCTCTGGTGATTTATAAATAAATCATCCCCACACGATGATTGATGTCTCCATATAAATAATTAAGTCTTGACCTTATGTTATGACACCTGCTAAATTTTTTGGCACTTGAAACCAGTGCTCAGGAGAGATCCTTGACTCTGGATAAATAAAGGTGGGACTGAGTTCGAGGGGAAGGGGGAGCCAGGTTTTTGTTTACCCTCATTTTGTTCTGTTTGATTCCATCAGCTAATTGATGATGATTATTAATCTCCGTTGCCATCTACCCTATGGATTTAATTCCTGCCTGTGATTGCTGTTGGAAAGTTTGCTCCATTAGAAGCAGACTTTGATTGGATTTCCAGTCACCAGAGTTTCCCAGAGCTCCCCCAAATCACTGTGTGACCTAGTCCAGGCACTTTATACTTTTTTTTTTGGCTCTTTACTTTGTTTGGTGGCAGGTCTCCAGTAGCCAGGCTGACACCGTCATTCTGCTCAACCAGGCTAGGTAGCAGGTGTCAGCAAAAGTTTAATTTGGAAGCTCATGAATTCAAAAGAAGAGCTTAACAGTTATCCCCAACACAGAGAGCTGCTGTGGCCTGAGCCTGGAAAAGAGAAAATCCCAGGGACATGAAAGGAATTGATGAGACACCAGGCATCTGACAAAATGAAATCTTCTTGGGATAAACTGGGGATATCTCCCCCCTCAAATAGTGAGAATCATTAATAAACAAAACGGATTTAGCAGTGGCATTTCCAATTTTCACTTCTGAGACTGTTCAGGTTTGCCATTCACCTTCCCTCACTGCTATTCAGCCTATTCTCTGAAGAGCTGCAACTTTTAAATCTTGCAGTAAAATACAAGCATTTCAGGGTAAGCATCTAACATAAAAAAAAAAAAAAGAGCATCTTTAGGTTTTTTTTAAGCATGTTAATCTGCACGCAACACAAGTCAGCTATAGACAGAAAACAACATTATAACACAATTACAATAAGGGCTTTCCTAACTCCTCAAAAAGCTTAAAAAAATAATCACACAGCTACGACCGGGTATCACATCATTTCTGGCTACTTCCACAGCCAACATCGGGGAATCCCAGGTGTCAGCCAGGTGCCTGGGCTGTCCGGTTGCCCATCTCTGGCACACTGGGGCTAACACACTTGGACAAATTATCCTCTGCCGTGTGTTTGCCGTGGTTTGAATCTGCCCGTTCTGGAGCGCTGGGTGAGGTGTAAAGTGGCTTTTCAAGGTCCGGGCTGCCCGTGTCGCCCAGCAGGGGCGGGGGGATCGGGACGTGCCGAGAAGTGCTCCTCCGGGAGAGCAGCGCCCAGAGCAAACCCCTGTCCTCTACAGAACTCCAGAAATGAAAAAGTGCCCTCCTGTCCCCTCGCACCGCTCCTGCTCGCGTAGGCTGAACTCCGGGAGAACTGGGTTTCCAGCCTAGGGAGATGCCTGCATTTATCAACTAGTTTGCTTTGAATCCCGTTATTTTCGCTACACAAACCCACGCCGGACTCGCACCCGCGAGCAGGCACAGCCCGGCGGAGCCGCCAGCTCCATCCTCACCTGGAGTTGTGTCCCGGTGCCCGAGCGGGGCTGGGCCGGCCCCGCCCGGCTGCGGGGGCAGCGGAGCGGGATGGGGCGGAGGGGCCGCGCCGCAGCCCCGGGGCGACCCCCGCCCCTCCACCCCCAATTCCCGGCACCGGGAATTACGGCGCCGCGAGGGCAGCCCTGAGGTGAGGGGGTCGCGCCGCCGGGAAAGGGGGGGACACGGGACGAGGGTCCCCATCGCAAGTTTGGGCACTTTCCCGAAGTGGTGCGGGGAAAAGTTGGGGAGCGGCCGGGGGTGCGGGGGGCCGGGGTGCGCAGCGCGGCCCGGGGACGGGGGGTGGGGGTCTCACCACTGACCTGCCGCGGCCGCGCCGCCTCCCGCGCCCGCTCAGCGCATCCTCCGCGCCGCTCCCGCCGCCGCCCTGCGCGCCGCAGCCGCGGCTCCGCGCCCGCGATGCTCGGCGGGGAGGAGAGAGTGAAGCGGGACAGCCCGCCCGGAGACGGGAGGCCGCCGCCCCCTCCCCGCCCCCCGATCCCCGCTCCGCGCTCCGCTCGGCCCCCGCCCCGCGCACCTCCGGCAGCAGGTACGGCCTCCGCCGGGAGCGGCCCCGGCCCGGCCGCGCCCCCGCGCATCGTCCCCCGCCGCGGGCGGGGCCGCCGCCTTGCCGGGGAGCCGCTCGCCTTGCCGGGGAGCCGCTCGCCTTGCCAGGGAGCCGCTCGCCTTGCCAGGGAGCCGCTCGCCTTGCCAGGGAGCCGCTCGCCTTGCCAGGGAGCCGCTCGCCTCTGGAGCCCGCCGCGTCCCCGCGGCTCGGGCTGCGCCGGGGTGTGTGTGAAGGGCAGCGCCGTGTCTGCCGGCGCGGGTGTGACCGCCCTGCGCGCACCCGGCTCCTGCATCCCGAGCCTCCGCCCGCGCGGCTCCCACGGAGACAGCGCAGCCCCCGAGCGGGAAGTTGCGGGGAGCGAGGAAAGGTCCCGGGCATGGTGCTGGGAGAGCCTCTGCGCCCCTGCTGCCGGGTGTCGTCTGGGAGGAACGGGGCAGGGAGGCTTTTCCGTATCCTCAGTGTGGATACGAACATCCTGCCGGGCGTCTCCTGCGGGCTGCAATTTGGCATCGTTATTGAAAATATATGTGTTTTGAGACTAGTTGGGAAGATCCGTGGCCCACACTTGCTCCCAAAAGGAGGCGACTGCGAACACGCGCCCCAAGGGCAGACACAGTAGAATTAATTGGAAGAGAATTGAAGTGGTGGTGCCCTCAAACAACAAATCGGAGCAGACTCACTGTAGCCAGGGCATGGTGGGCACCAAGGTGCCTTGTCTCGAGCCTGGATATGGACTGTGGAGTAACTGCACAGAAGGGACCTCTTGCACTCTCTGCTGGCTATTTCCCACCCTAAAATACTGGGAGGTTTTTCGAGCGCGTCTGTGCAGCAGAATAAAGAGTCTAATAAGAGCGAAACCAGAGTATGGCTGTGGTCCCTAAGAGTGGCCTCGGTGGCATGCCTGGCTATTGCTACTGTAATTAAATGGCTACTGGCTGAAATTAAGAAACTCCAATATTATATTAAATAGTGCCCCTAGAGCCTGGGCATCGAGGGGGTGCCCTGCACCCGCTCCTCAGCTTTGGGAGTGTGGGTCTCAGGAGCTGCCCTTGCTGCCAGGGAGCCACGGGAGCAGGGTTTGCCAACAAACAAAGCCAGATATGTTGTGTTGAGTCCCCACCATCCAGCCTCAGCCAGACACTCTGTGTGTACAGTGTTAAATGTGTGTCAAGATGGAGCCTATGCACAGCCCTCAGAATAGTTTCAGGTGTGTTTTATAAATAAATGATGACATTTATCCTGTGACTACATTAGCAGAAATACATTATACTTAGTGTGCTCCCCATCAATCAATTGTTCTGACTAAGTAGGTGTTATTTATTAAAGTATTGATTAGGGACCCAATTCTGTAGTCCTCAAGCAAGCCAGTTCTTTGCTGATAGGATGGAATATTTGATTGAGAGTTTCGAGGCCAGACTTTATGTAATTCTATTGTCATAGGAAAAAAAGGTGCACGTGATACGGCTTTCCAGGGGAAGATGCATTCATGCCACTTGGAGTTCAAAGGAAGAACAACACGTGAAAACTGCAATCATTGCTTTACCTGAGCCCCTTCTGTCCTACTCTCTGTGGCGCAGGGCGCATAAGCTGTCACAGCAAAAATAATAAGCCTAACTGGGGAAAGTGAGTTGCATACAATAAATGTAAAACATTCCTCGATGTCTGTTGCTATGGCAGGTGACCGGGGAGAACACTGTCCTCCAAGGGCCAACTCCTGCTCCTGTGGCACAAGGAACCTTCCCTGCTACACCCCTGCTGGACTCCTCTGTGAGCAGGCTGAGCAGAATGTGGCTCTGTATTCTTTATTCAGGTTGTGTTATGAAAAACTGCTTTAAATGAATGACCTTGAAAACAAAGCTCCAAACAAGAGTCCTGGCACTAGGTCAGTGACAGCGAGTTCTCTGCCCCGCTGCCTGCAAGACTCACGATTACCTTCTTCTTCATTTTTAACTCCATTACTTGCAAAAAATTCCCATGAATTTGAAAAATAAGGTATCTCAAACCAACGATTCCTGGGGGTTATTTTTGTCTTTGGGAGGATTGATTTTTATTTTTTTCCCTCTCTGTCTCCGGTGGAACAGAAGGCAACGTGAATCCCTTTTGTTTACTTCTTTGTTTCTGCTTCTGACTGCTTAATAATATAAGCAGATGTGTATGGCTCTGCTGTAGTCTGGGGCTAGTTAGTGGCTATTACAAAGTTAGGAGGAAGAGCAACAATCACAAAACCTTGGTTTTGAGAGGGTAGAATGAACAAAGAGGACATAACAGAAAAAAAAAAAGAAAATATTTATGTAAGAAAAGAATACACTTAATAAATGCATATGCTAGAACAATGAAAGATTTTTATTCAGGTATTTCTAGGAAATGAGATTTCTAATTATTTTGATATTAAAACACGTTACAGTAAATTCAATATTTATTGAAGGGAATCTTTTTTTTATTAGTTGCACAGACTCAGGGTGCAAACAAACATCCCAGCATATAATCTAGTATTGTTGTGATCTAGCAGTACTAGTACTGTGCTTATAATCAGGATTTCTGGTTATTATACACTGCAGACTGTCACTTAAGAGTCCTATATAGATTCTAATTTCTTTTAAAACTGGAAGGAATTGTTTACCTTTGCTTAGTCAATCAGCAAATGCAACTTATATTTTCAGAATGTTTGCTATGGAAAGCTGGAAAACAGTTGGGGGTGAATGAAATTAATTGTAAAGTTGTTTTTGATGCTTAGATACATTTGGTCATTTGGAGACTGATATTTATAGCAATACTGTCTGAATGCTTTAGGAAAAAGGTTATTTCCCCCAATCTGACAATTATTTGGGGGAAAAAAGTAATTTTTTAATATTATATATCATAGGAAAGTTCATCTTATACTGAGTCTTTCTTCATCTCTCAGAAAACAGCACAGAGAAAAATGAAGAGAACATATGGTGTCTTCTATCAGTCAGTCATCATTACTGCTTCTTCACACTATGTCATCACCCCACAAATAGCAAATGAGTGTGAATTTCGCCCTGCTGAAAGAGAAAAGAAAAAACTGGTTAGTGCAGCCAGCCAAGTAAAAAAAAAATTAATAAATATTACAATAGCATCAACTGGAAGATCATATAAAATATTAAAGACAATGAGAATGCAGAGGGAAAACCCCCTAAACTGTCAAACAATAGTATCAAACCTGAAAACGTTGAGCTGGAGCAGAACTCATGAATTTCTCTTGATTTGATAACCAAGCTTGAAATATTGATGGGACACAGTCTCTCCTGCCCATTCTTTATGAATGATTCTGTGCTATTTGTGGTACTCAAACAGACAGAACTCAAATAAGAACTGTGAGGAATATAATGTAATAGTTTGTCTCTGGGGCTTCCATAAAATCCTGAATTTCCTTTTAAAGCAGACATCTAGGAAAAATATAATTTCATTTAATTCCCTGATATTCCTATTACACTTCTAGTGTAAAGGTTGCAATTCAAATCCTTATCTGCAAAGCCCCTCTGCCATTCTTAGTCTCTTGAAAAGAAATATATGACAAAGCAACCTTGGAAACAGCTGCTGTAGGAACTTAATAAACCCCAACACTTGAAACATCCATCCCAGCTTTGGAAGGGATAATTCAAACCCACCCTCCTATAGGAGCAGCAAAAGCAGTTGAGGTTTATGGAGGAAAAAGGATATATATATGTGTGTGTGTGTGTGTGTGTGTGTGTGTGTGTGTATTTATCTGTAATATTATATATTTCTGGAAATCCGGCAAATTTTCAGGCCGGAAAAACCAAAGTGTTCATTTTTTCTTCTACCTCTTCCCCTTCCCCCAGTGTTATTGCAATACTGCACAGACCCAAAGGCAGCTCCGAGTGGCACATCCAGAATGGTGCAACAAAGCAACAAATTAAGAGCCTTGTTGGAAACTCTAAAGCAAATCTGGGCCAGATTGTCTCCCAGATCTCTAATCCCTCATTCCCTTTGGATCCTTCCCTCAAAAGCAGCTCATAAAGGATGCTAATGCACCTGGAATTGAGCCCCATACACAAGCTACAAGGGGACCAAGCTCACCTGCAAGCTCCTCTCATTTTGGTGCCCAGCTGAAATAGGTGCTTGATAAAACCATGGTTCAAACTATTGCCTATGCAGACTCTTGAGCTAGACTTAAATTTCTTCTGTGACCAGTCCCAGGATCTGATTATGTCACTGATGGTGCCTTAGAGTAGCCAGGCCTGACTGGGGGAACACAGCTTTTCTCTAAAGGCCGTTTTCTTAAAATTGCTTACACACAAACAGCCAGTGAGGATGAGCTTGGCAGGCTGGGACATGGGACAGTGGCAGGTAGGGCTGTGGAAGAGGGAAAAGAACAAGGCAGTGCAAGGTATAGAAGGTAATGGTTGGTAGGTAATGCTAGGGATAGAAGAAAGTGGAATAAAAGTGCATTTTCTGGGACTTAGCCAAAATTAAAAAAAAAATGAAATAATTCCATGCACTCTGCCCCTGGAGCAATGCTTCTCCACGGGTATATCTGGCAAGGTTTCTATGGAGAGGCAATGTCTTTATCAGACCAAGAAGTATCAGTGGGACAAATTGTAGGGTACAAACCCATTCTTTGGGAACAAAATAGAAATCTCTGAAAAAATTATAGAAACCTCAAAAGACAGAATTGGAAGAGATGTATTAGATCATATGGTTTGTCCTTTAGTAGCAGCAGTAACAAATTGTCCCCTGGAGACAGAGAACATCAGTTATTTCATAAAATATAGCCAAAAGGCCCAGAAGGGACAATATGCTTTAGAAAGGGAAGCCTGAGAAGCATTTGATTTAGTCTAAGGGAGAACAGCTAGACCTACCAGACTCAGAATCCGAAAATGGCACTCCAAATTTCTCTTTGGAAACTCCATGGATCACCTAGAGTAACTGGGAGCTGGAGCTTTTGTCCTTGTTACACTGGGGAGGTGCTGGAAGGGATTCTTTTCCACAGGATATGCAAAGATGTATGTTGAAATACTCCCCAGAATACCACACAGGGGTGCTGGGGTTTGCTCCTGTTTACTGCTCCTGTTTTGTCCGTCCTGGGAGACTGGTGGTCGAGATGGAGAAATTGCTGATGGCCCTTCAAAGGACCGAAGCTGAAGGTAAATATTGTTTTTCAAGACATAATTTGTTGCAGGTGGTATGATGTGCTGTTCTAAGTTTGGATCTCCACTGGATGTATTCAAATCCCATCCAGTTCTGGCTTTGGGGGCTTGGGGCTCTTTAGGAATGGCTTCATTGTCCTGCATGGATTTGCTCTGTCATTTC